AGGAGCTCCAGTTATATAAGAAACCCACAGGTAGGAGCTTCAGTTCTATAAGAAACCCACAGGTAGGAGTTTCAGGTGTAAAAGAAACCCACAGGTAGGAGTTCCAGGTGTATAAGAAACCCACAGGTAGGAGTTCCAGGTGTAAAAGAAACCCACAGGTAGGAGTTCCAGGTGTATAAGAAACCCACAGGTAGGAGCTTCAGATGTATAAGAAACCCACAGGGAGGAGCTTCAGTTGTATAAGAAACCCACAGGTAGGAGCTTCAGTTGTATAAGAAACCCACAGGGAGGAGCTTCGGGTGTATACGAAACCCACAGGTAGGAGTTCCAGGTGTATAAGAAACCCACAGGTAGGAGTTCCAGGTGTATAAGAAACCCAGAAGTAGGAGTTCCAGGTGTATAAGAAACCCACAGGAAGGAGCTCCAGGTGTATAAGAAACCCACAGGTAGGAGTTCCAGGTGTATAAAAAACCCACAGGTAGGAGTTCCAGCCCAGTCTTCCAGCAACGAATGCCCTGCTAAGTACAGTACTTGGGCTGCCCAGTACTACATGGCGCCAGTCTCGCCGGTGTAGAAGCCCAGTTGTGTCAGGAGGAGACGCAGGGAGTCACAGAACTGCACACGCCGAGACATTCGAAGCTTTATAATTTGTTTCTGTCTGTGTTCAGTCTTTTCTTGGACCCGAGGACAGGGTGTCCATTCAGCCCAGACGTGGTTATAAATTAGTTACGGTCCTTGCAATATCTGTTTATATCCTTGCCTCATATTGAATATCGCTGTCTACCTTGTCTATTTTCGTTTAAGTTAATACCGCCTAATAGTGTGTCTGAGAGTTGGGGTCTCAAATTCAGTGTGTTGTGTTTAAGTCTGCCCTCGGTTGCGACGTGACCAAGCGTGGATCGAGGTAGCCTTGCTCCAAGGCTGCACTGTATGCCGAGTCCATGAGTGTACAGTAATTCTATCCTTCAAAGAGCTATGTTTGAAATAAGCGGACGTCAGTATGTTATTTATATTTTTTTATAGAAATCATCTTTAACACTATTATTGTTACCTTAGAGACTTATGCGAGTCTAGCGTGGAGGTAGTACACGGGTTTGTTTCTAAGCACATCTATCCTACATAAATAATGTAGTTGATCTGAGATTAATACGTACAGTCAGTGGGCACGTAATCGCTTATGCCTCTAACAGAACCGGCAATCATTCAAATATACGTCACTACGCCAATGGAAAACGATCATTAAAATATCATATTTGCTCCTCAAAACTCAGAACATGTGTTCTGTGCGGTAGGGTAGCCTTGGCGTTAACAACCCGGGTTCGAATCCCCACTTTCGTCTCACCAACCGTTGAACATGCTGCATGTCCTGAAACAAAACAGCTTTGAGAAGAAGAAAAAATCATGCACATCACTTTAGAGAGTCAAAATTGTATGTCTGACAGAATTATTCTTGGTTTGAGCTATGGAGAAAGCACGTGCCTCCTGTGTCTCGGTCAGCTCCTTCGTCGTCATTCGGTCCGCACTGAGTGGTTGTTGAGAGTCACGACGTGGTGTGGGACTACCGGCTACGTTCCCACACAACACCAGACATGACGGCGCCCACACAAGCACTATGGTAATCGTGGGTGAGGTTAGCGCTGCATACCAATGTACCAACAGACATGCTTTTGACTCGGTAAGTACGAAATCCTCCTCCGACTTGGTAGCGTTACCATGCCTTGCTGTACGTGCCCCGCGGTTTACTGTGATGGAACAGCGCTAAAGTACTGTCGGAAATAGAAAAAACTGTTTTTTCACATTTATATCCACAATTTAGGTAGTTAATATATGAAAGTGTGAAATATCTGTAAAACTAAATTCGGTCTAACTACAGTATCAGCGGTAGGGAGATAGGAAACGTAAAAGAAGGACTTTACTGAGGAGAGATTAGTGCAGAAATGAGCCATGTGGTTTTTTTGTAAGTCCAATGCGACTTATTTAGAACAGACCATGGCTTTATGCAGATTAATGTGCGATGATATTGTATTACAAATGACACTTTTTAAATGCCCATTTTGAAATTAGACTTAGCTTCATTATAAACGATAGCAGACGTAAAAAATAATAACTCTCAATGCTGAAACTGTTAAGGATGTAGCTACCATGGAGTCTCACTATCACTATAAAAAAGAAACAGGTAGGAGGGGTCGTCTCAAAAGCAAAACCAGGACGGGTGTTGCAGACGGTGGTTGGGGTCGGGCTGGGTGACAGAGATATCAGCTATGAAAAATATAAGAAAAGATAATCAATAGAGACATATTCGATATACATGAAAGAGCATAAAATATGTTTGAGATGATCCCTTGTGTCTGTGGGCAGCACGTGCATTTCATGCCAAGTGAGTCGAGGGTCCGTCGTCATACCTGGCTGAGCGACCTAATTGCCATCTATAGTCTGATCTATTGTTTTCAGCAGCTATTCGTATTTTTTCTAAGTTTTGTCCCATTTTACGAGTAAACATGCTTTTCTGGATATCCTCTTACGCACCCCACTGAATGCCCAGTTAGGCCGAAGTGGGTTATTTCGACATATGCTATTTGCAGTTGTGCAAATTTGAAAGATACAGAGTAACAGACTAAAAACAGTTTTTTTTCTATTTCCGACAGCACTTTAGTATCTGCCCTACTTACTTCAGTGCCTGCAGAACCCCGGTCATGTTACACATTGTAGGAACATTATATGTTATAGTGACTTTTACATATACATTACAGTCGATATATGAAAATATAACAATATGAATTTTCATGAAATCATTAAGTTAATACAACTTATATATATTCATAGTTGTGTGACTGTTGTGCAGCGTTGGTGTGTGCAATGACTGGTGCCCCTTCGTTCCACTGCTGCCGGTCGATGCGAGGTGCAGGCCACACTCCCAGCCCACGTGGAGCTGGCAGTCGAGAAGCAGGTCATAGTAACCCTTAACGTAGCACGTGGTTTGTGGGGGTTTCCCCTCTGCTCGTGCCGCGCTTCCTGGTTTCACCACACTCGCCAGGCTGGCGGACACCGCCAATATTGCGGAACTGTCACTTGCTGACAACCTACTAGTATAAGAAACAATAGTCAGATGAACGTTGATAACGGGCCACGTACAACAAGGACACGCTCTAGGATTCAGTGTAGGTTATTATATTGACTGAATATGTGTCAATGGTAGGCCTACAAGATGGACCCGTCATCAGCTGCTCGCCGCCTGTAATTGCTGCATAGGCATGTATTCCGACATCAAGTTTGGTGGAAGGCATATCTGCATGCAGTCGGTGATCCCACTGCAGTAACACCTGGCCAGCTCCCCCTACTGGACGTGTAGCAACATCAAGTCGCGGACCGATACCGTCGTCGTCCGTCTCACAGTCCCTGAACAAATGCTAAAACCCTAAAGATACATGATATGTTATTGCGCAACCAGTGACAATATTCTATAAACTACATAAACGATTTATATATATATATATATATATATATTATACGTCACAGTAACAATACATATACTGATACAAATGTGTATAATGACCAGGTATATATATATATATATATATATATTATACGTCAGAGTAACAATACATATACCAATACAAATGTGTATAATGACCAGGTATATATATATATATATATTATACGTCACAGTAACAATACATATACTGTACCAATACAAATGTGTATAATGACCAGGTATATATATATATATATTATACGTCAGAGTAACAATACATATACCAATACAAATGTGTATAATGACCAGGGACACTCTAGAGATCTAGATTTGTTTGAAGTTGTATATAACAGCAGATTATTTCTATTCTATCTGGTTCATTATTTGTAAACAGGAGGCTACTTTCTTTCTGTGAGGGCAAGGCTTTGAGAGTAATTCATTTGAGGGGAAAGGGAGTTAAATAAGTAGTGTTTTACATCTAAATATTTACCACAAGACATGAAATCGTGTTCTTCATCCTCAAGGACTGAGCATTGATCACAGAGACGATCCTCCAAAGGTGTAGGTGATCTTGTTCTTCTACCCAGTTCAGTTTGGAGTCTGCGATCACTCACTGTTAGTTTCGTGAAGTGGGTACGGTGGCATAGGAGGATCCAGGAATGATTCAAGTTTAATTTCTGATTCAATTTTCTGTGTTCTGAGTTTGTTCCTTGAATTTAATGTATTTGGTTTATCTTGAAGAGATGAGCGGAACATGTCTGTAAATTTCAACTGGAGGTCCTAAAGTACAGAGGGACAGGTCAGAGGTTGATGCTAAACGTATTTAAGAGGCAACTGAGTTTGTAAAATACCATCCAATTCTGTGTTTGGCAATAGTTAATTATTTATAAGATGTCTGTAGAATTGAACAATAGATTTAATTACTTTGAATAATAGGTGAAACAAACCAAGTTCTGCTCTACATGCCCAGTCATGTTTTAAACTCCCAGAGTACGTTTGCAATTATTTTGTAATTTTTCAGGAGAGAAAGTAAGTATATGCCTCAGCAGAACCCAGTAATTCCCCATACAGTACTGTTATACAGGACAACAGGTTCAATAATTGCCTTGAATATTTTGCATAAGACAGTTGGATCCAAACAATTTAGAAGAGAGTATGTGGTCCTTGTTTACAAGGTATTCCACAAAAATGATTAAATTTTACATTGTGATGCAACGTAACACTTCAGAAATTGTACCTGTCTATAAGACATTAGTATCCTGCCGTGTCACTAGACCATCTGTATATTGGATTGTGGGGTTTTGCCACTGAAGTATAGATTTCCCCAGGTTCTGAAGCTCCCATCTCCCCGGCGTTGCTTTTCAATTTAAAAGGAAATATTTGTTCCTATCCACAGTATATTCATTGGAAGACAAAGCGCTAGTCTATACCTGTCCTTACAATCACACCGTTCCACGCCGATAGAGCGTCTGTGTTGGAAACTGCCCAAACCTCGGGTAAAGTATCACCTCTCGGATTTAAATGGCAAATTAATGTCGGGATTTCAAATCTATTACAAGCTGAAGAATCCGACTGCGAGTACCAGGTGGTGACCTGCTGTTAACAACAAACAAAAGAGTACTCAGTAATTAGATCATGTGCAAGTATGACTGGTGGACTCCCGCGTTATGTTCCATACATACTGATCACATGCAGATCACGTGTAAATCGTGGCACGCCTCGCACGTGTCCTCGGCTCCGTACGTCAGTGTATCTTTGTCTCTGAATAACATCCACGATCCGGTCGGCCATCATGCAGAGTGTTCTAATTCACCGTTGTACCAGATGCTGTTCACAAAATAATTCCAACATATTGTCATCAAAGGAATCTTGACTTGCTACCTAAGGAATTACGACATGTTGTTAATAAAAGAATTAAGACCTGTTTTCTATAGAAATTGGACATGCTGAATGGGTGAGTTTCGTTTTAGGCCGCACTCAGCAATATTCCAGCTATATGGCGGCGGTCTGTAAATAATCGGGTCTGGACCAGACAGTCCAATGATCAACAGCATGAGCATCGATCAACGCAATCGGGATACGATGACATGTGTCAACCAAGTCAGCGAGCCTGACCACCCGATCCCGTTATTCCTCTTACGGAAGATCATTTCTTCGGGTTACTGAAGATCATTTCTAACCCGGACCTTCACGAGTCTACAACTTCTGGCAAATTTCAAAATTCATACAAATTTAGTTAATTATGCATCACTAACGCCCCCTTCAGGTTCCAATATCTTTCGATGAAACACTAAATGACCTGGCGGGCCCGTGTGTTAACAAAGAAATCGGGATGTGTTATATATAGAATTACGACAGGTTATCCATAGAATAACGACATGCTCTTAACTATAGAACTTTGACAAGTTAGTGTAGAGTTTCGACATCTTCTGAACTATATATATATTGAGTTACACCTCTGAGATCGGACCCTATTTTTGAAATAAATTTAGTGCTTATTCGTCCCGATTTGATACGCCAGGTTTCCTATGACCCAGGATAAACATGAAACTGTCACGGCTTCAGCCAGGACGGCCACCATATGTGCCTCTCGTAAAAGGAATTATGTAGAGTAGGCTGGGATCATGTAATACATACTCGCATTTAATCTTCCAGTATTCCATGACAAATATTATAATAAGTTGTTGATTATTTCCCTATTACCTTCGTTCATAACTGTGAAGTGTCCTATTTCAACAGTAAGAGGCGGTGGTGTATATGTAGGTGATGCCGCCATATGGCTCTTGCCGCCACCCCCTCACACGTCCACGGGACTCAACCGGACATGAACAGAAAAATGACGTGAACTGGACGGGGCTGTTTATTCCAGGATGCAGTTTTATAACAGCACGCCAACACGTGACGTCACGGTAACAGCTTGTTACTATATGAAATATAAAGTTCTATAGGTATACTGCACGTGTTATCCGCCCCTACACATCATTTAACACACAGTTTATGTTGGTGTTTATTATATACAAAACCTGCAACCCCATAAGAACAACGTCTCTGTGAAATATGTACCAAGTATAGCGAAGAAAGGGAATCACTTCTACACACAATGCTTTATTATGACCAAGACTCTCTAAAAAAGAACAATTCCTAATAATTTTCAAAAATAGAAATCCTGAATTAATTTCCAAAATATGTCACCATCTTTACAACTTTAAATGAATTCTATATCTTACCATAGTCTCCTCATAAATTATTTCGATGTCATTATACCACATGATTTCTAAACAATTGTTATAATGTACATCATTTCTTGTACCTTCTGTGTTTATATTTGTAGTTTATAGAATATTGCCACTGTTTCTTCATGGAATGCTATGCAATAAATATTTTATCTTATCTCATTGTTGACCTGAAAATGGTTTGGTTCTAGATGTTGTCAACTGCTACCGTGTTCGCCTGTCCACATCTCTGCTCGGATATTGTGGGTACATTTGATAATACAGTACAGTCATTTAGGAACTCTAAAGACACCTTTAAAAATTATAAATATATGTCAACATGTGGTTCAATTCATTTTCGAAAAAGAATAATACTTCAGGAATCACGAGTCCTACGTTAAATGTTAATACTAACGAACGTGTCTGTGGCGCCACCGTTTCAGTCGGTCGACTACTTCTCTCTATTGTGGACGAAACTGATCGCATTCGTGATAATCAAATACATCACTTGGGTGCAGAGACGGACGAAAAGAAGAAAAGATTGATGCGAAACTCGACCAAACGAGCAATACAAGGTCATACGTTCTGTTTTTAATAAAGGACATACATTATCCCGAACTGTGTTTGTAAGGTAGTCTGCGGTTAAACATTACATGACAATAAACACACATTGCAGTACAATCAACACTTATCACAGAACAACACACACCTCCTTACAGTACAATATACAATATACAATAGACACGCACCGTAGTTAAATACTTTAAGGTATAATCACAACGTTGGTAAATGAAGTGTCAATGTTGTTTATAACGTGGTCCCCATGGTTACACGTCACGTGAGTACGTAGGGCCATTACCTGACAAGAGAAACCTAGACGTGCTATACAATGTACGTCTTTTAAAACTTGTTATCAATTGTGCCGGGGATTTAAAGGGAACTTCCTTTTCATGTTTACTTGTCGCCAAGACTGAGCACTCATCACAAACTGTTTTCTTATATATAGTCATTTTGTTTTCCTCGTACAGAAAAAACAGATCCACCGAGCCACAACTACACTACATTACCACCATCACATAAAGCAAGATAGCCACCAACACATACAGCAAGATAGCCACCAATAGCCACAACTACACTACATTACCACCAACACATACAGCAAGATAGCCACCAACACATACAGCAAGATAGCCACCAATAGCCACAACTACACTACATTACCACCAACACACATACAAGATAGCCAAGATATCCACAACTACACACATACAGCAAGATAGCCACCAATAGCCACAACTACACTACATTACCACCAACACATACAGCAAGATAGCCACCAACACATACAGCAAGATATCCACCAATAGCCACAACTACACTACATTACCACCAACATATACAGCAAGATATCCACCAATAGCCACAACTACACTACATTACCACCAACACATACAGCAAGATAGCCACCAATAGCCACAACTACACTACATTACCACCAACACATACAGCAAGATAGCCACCAACACATACAGCAAGATAGCCACCAACACATACAGCAAGATAGCCACCAATAGCCACAACTACACTACATTACCACCGACATATACAGCAAGATATCCACCAATAGCCACAACTACACTACATTACCACCAACACATACAGCAAGATAGCAACCACCAATAGCCACAACTACACTACATTACCACCAACACATACAGCAAGATAGCCACCCACAGCAAGATACAGATATCCACCAATAGCCACCACACACTACAGCACACATACAGCAAGATATCCACCAATAGCCACAACTACACTACTACACTACATACAGCACCATAGCCACCAACATACATACAGCAAGATAGCCACCAACACATACAGCAAGATATCAACCAATAGCCACAACTACACTACATTACCACCGACACATACAGCAAGATAGCCACCAATAGCCACAACTACACTACATTACCACCGACATATACAGCAAGATATCCACCAATAGCCACAACTACACTACATTACCACCAACACATACAGCAAGATAGCCACCAATAGCCACAACTACACTACATTACCACCAACACATACAGCAAGATAGCCACCAATAGCCACAACTACACTACATTACCACCAACACATACAGCAAGATATCCACCAACACATACAGCAAGATATCAACCAATAGCCACAACTACACTACATTACCACCGACATATACAGCAAGATATCCACCAACACATACAGCAAGATATCCACCAATAGCCACAACTACACTACATTACCACCAACACATACAGCAAGATAGCAACCAACAAATACAGCAAGATATCCACCAATAGCCACAACTACACTACATTACCACCAACACATACAGCAAGATATCCACCAATAGCCACAACTACACTACATTACCACCAACACATACAGCAAGATAGCCACCAATAGCCACAACTACACTACATTACCACCAACACATACAGCAAGATAGCCACCAACACATACAGCAAGATATCCACCAATAGCCACAACTACACTACATTACCACCAACACATACAGCAAGATAGCCACCAACACATACAGCAAGATAGCCACCAATAGCCACAACTACACTACATTACCACCGACACATACAGCAAGATAGTCACCAACACATACAGCAAGATAGCCACCAATAGCCACAACTACACTACATTACCACCAACACATACAGCAAGATAGCCACCAATAGCCACAACTACACTACATTACCACCAACACATACAGCAAGATAGCCACCAACACATACAGCAAGATAGCCACCAATAGCCACAACTACACTACATTACATACAGCAAGATACCACCTACACATACATACAGCAAGATATCCACCAACACATACAGCAAGATATCAACCAATAGCCACAACTACACTACATTACCACTGACACATACAGCAAGATATCCACCATACACATACATACAGCAAGATATCCACCAATAGCCACAACTACACTACATTACCACCAACACATACAGCAAGATAGCAACCAACAAATACAGCAAGATATCCACCAATAGCCACAACTACACTACATTACCACCAACACATATCCACCAATAGCCACAACTACACTACATTACCACAACAATACAGCAAGATACCACCAACACATACAGCAAGATAGCCACCAATAGCCACAACTACACTACATTACCACCAACACATACAGCAAGATAGCCACCAACACATACAGCAAGATATCCACCAATAGCCACAACTACACTACATTACCACCAACACATACAGCAAGATAGCCACCAACACATACAGCAAGATAGCCACCAATAGCCACAACTACACTACATTACCACCAACACATACAGCAAGATAGCCACCAACACATACAGCAAGATATCCACCAACACATACAGCAAGATATCCACCAATAGCCACAACTACACTACATTACCACCAACACATACAGCAAGATATCCACCAACACATACAGCAAGATATCCACAAACACATACAGCAAGATATCCACCAATAGCCACAACTACACTACGTTACCACCAACACATACAGCAAGATACCCACCAATAGCCACAACTACACTACGTTACCACCAACACATACAGCAAGATACCCACCAATAGCCACAACTACACTACATTACCACCAACACATACAGCAAGATATCCACCAATAGCCGCAAAGTATTCAATATGTCCCTGTACTAACTAAAGACCTGTATCACCTCAAGACCTGTACCACCTCAAGACGTGTACCAACTAAAGACCTGTATCACCTCAAGACATGTACCGACTCAAAACCTGTACCACTTCAAGACCTGTATCACCCCAAGACCTGTACCGACTCAAGACCTGTACCACCTCAAGACCTGTACCACCTCAAGACTTGTACCAACTAAAGACCTGTAGCAACTTAAGACCTGTACCAACTCAAGACCTGTATCAACTCAAGACATGTACCACCTCAGACCTGTATCACCTCAAGACCTGTACCACCTCAAGACCTGTACCACCTCAAGACCTGTACCACCTCAAGACCTGTATCACCTCAAGACCTGTATCACCTCAAGACCTGTACCACCTCAAGACCTGTATCACCTCAAGACCTGTATCACCTCAAGACCTGTACCACCTCAAGACCTGCACCAACTCAAGACCTGAATCACCTCAAGACCTCACCTCAAGACCTGCACCAACTCAAGACCTGTATCACCTCAAGACCTGCACCAACTCAAGACCTGTATCAACTCAAGACCTGTACCACCTCAGACCCGTCTCACCTCAAGACCTGTACCGACTCAAGACCTGTACCACCTCAAGACCTGTACCACCTCAAGACCTGTATCACCTCAAGACCTGTACCACCTCAAGACCTGTACCACCTCAAGACCTGCACCAACTCAAGACCTGTACCACTTCAAGACCTGTACCACCTCAAGACCTGTATCACCTCAAGACCTGTACCACCTCAAGACCTGTATCAATCCTCAAGACCTGTATCACCTCAAGACCTGTACCACCTCAAGACCTGTATCCCCGCAAGACCTGTATCACCTCAAGACCTGTACCACCTCAAGACCTGTATCACCTCAAGACCTGCACCAACTC